GTTATTTTCAGTACTATTAGAATTACTAATCCCTCCCCCACTACCACCTATTACATGTTTACCATTTAATATTTTTCCAATAAAGTTTTTCCATCTTTCATTAATTCCTTGATCTTATATCAAGAGATGCAACTAACTTGATTTAAACCTCTGCATTTTCTTTCTCTCCTTTTTGTCATTTTACAAATTTCATTCTCTCCTTTAGTGCCTAACTTATGATATAGTTCATCATATGCCTTAAATTTAACTTCACCCACTTTCTTTTTAACTTCCTTTCTTATGATTTATATTTTTTCTAAGTTTTCTATATTTTTAATATTTACTTCTTTAGTGTGTGGGTGTGTGTGTGTATCAATGTTATATAGTAAAGAAGTAAAGAATATTATTACTTTTTCAAGTTATATGCAAGCTAATTAGCATGTAAAACCAGGGAACAAACCTAGAATTTAGTTTTTATATTGTCAACTTCTATTTTCTAGGCACCTAGTCATGTAGGTGTTCATTGTTGCCTAGAACTGCCTATATGCCTTAACAACTACAGGTGAATGCACAAACCCAGTTGCCTGGTTATGGAAGTTAATCCTCTATTTTCAAGATTGAAAATATATATATCAAGGTGAATAAGCACTCAAAAATGCAATATGCAAGACTTATCCAAAAAAAAATGCAAAATGCAAGTTGAAATGGTCACATCCAAATATATTGCACTTCAACATGATACCCCCATAGCCTCGAAAAGTTAAAAGGCCATTACCCAATGTTAGTCCCAGCTATTTGGGGCCTTGGAAGGGGTAGACAGGATATGGCCCTAACATTTTGTATTTTTTTGGCACAAAGTGGCCTTTCTCAGACTTGAACACATGTTCTCACACTACCAGCCCAAGATTTTACCTTTACACCAAGCAATGGCCTTTATAGCCACAGAAAATTGTGAAAGAAAATATAATGCTATTAATATGGTATGTCAAGAGGAAATTTTGATATTATTTTCATATTTAAGTTTATCTTTCCCTGAATAACTTCATTAAAATCAATCACATTTCACAAGAAATATTTCTTGTGTAAAACTGTAAAGAAACACTTTTGATTTTAGTAGATTGATTTCAGCAGTATGGAACACTAGATTTAATCCAAGAAAAGAAAGGAAGAAGAGAGACAGAAACACTAGGTATTTCCATTCTCTAGCAGATGGCAAGAGAAGGAAGAACTTTATCTTATCTCCAAATTGGTAGTAGATGGAGTCGAGCTAGTACAACAAGAGGAGATTGCCAGGGCCTGTGTGGAGCACTTCAAATCTATTCTAAAAAGGCCTGTAAGTAGAAGGGTGTGGGTAGAAGGTTTGGACTGGCCAGATGTAGGGGTGGAGAACAGGAGAAGGCTGGAAAGAAGCTTTACTCTAGAAGAGATCAAGGAGGYYGTGTTTTCTATGGATAGAACAAAAGCTCCAAGGTCGGATGGGTTCACAATGGCTTTTTATCAGAATTGTTGGGATATCGTGAAAGATGATCTCTTGCGGGTGTTTGAGGAGTTTTTCAGGAGAGGAATTGTCAATCCGGGTGTGAAATCTACATTTATAACTTTAATTCCAAAAAAGAAATATGCATCCCACCCGAAGGATTTTAGGCCAATTAGCCTGGTTAATAGCTTGTATAAGATCATTGCAAAAGTGTTGTCTATGAGGTTGAAGAAGGTATTGCCCGATATCATTGCACACTATCAAGGAGCCTTTGTGAGTGGGAGACAAATTACTGATCAGATTTTAATTGCTAAGGAGAG